GGGCTGGAGCTGTGCCAGGGGGTTGGGACGGATCTCAGGGAAAGGTTCTTCCCCCAGAGGGTGCTGGGGCACTGCCCAGGCTCCCCAGGGCAGTGGGCACGGCCCCAAGGCTGCCAGAGCTCCAGGAGGGTTTGGACAACGCTGTGAGGGACAGGGGGGGATTGTTGGGGTGTCTGTGCAGGGCCAGGAGTTGGAATTGATGATCCTTGTGGGTCCCTTCCAGCTCAGGATATTCTGGGATTCTATGATAGTCAAAATTTTCCCTAATCTGAGGTGGTGAAACATTTCACAAAGGAGTCACAGTCAAAGGACTCGCCTTGTTCTCTGCCTGGACAAACAGCCCTGCTTGCGTTCTTGTCTTGAGTTAGGAGGGAAATGGTGTCCCTTGAACTGACACTGGGCATTTTGTCTGTGAGATCCTGGTGAAGAAAAGCTCCAACTGTCTCCAGTGGACTCCTGAGTCATGTGCATTGGACTGTAAACTTTGGAGTTATTCATTGACCACGGATGAACACACTGGAAAAAGGAAGTTCACTTCACACCGTGGTTTCCTCGGGGGCTGTGGGATTTTCCTCCCTCCACAAGCAGTGGGTTATAGAAGAAAATATCTCTGCAGCGGATTGCAGGGTGTTGGATTTTGTCTATTCCCAATTAAACTGAAAATGTTCTGGTGAATAGAGAGCTGATTTATATATTGAGAGAGACTATTTCAAGGGCGTGTAGTGACAGGACAAGGGGGAGCGGCTTCAAACTGAGAGCAGGTTTGGATTAGGTATTGGGAAGAAATTCTTCCCTATGAGGGTGGGGGGGCCCTGGCACAGGAGAAGCTGTGGCTGCCCCTGGATCCCTGGAAGTGTCCAAGGCCATCTTGGACGGGGCTTGGAGCAACCTGGGCTAGTGGAAGGTGTCCCTGCCCATGGCAGGGGGTGGGACTGGATGGGCTTTAAGGTCCCTTCCATCCTAAACCATTCCATGATTTTAAGTGTTGTTATCTTGCCCAAGTCCACATGTTGTTGGATAATACCTGTTTATGTACCTGGTTTTGCTGTAATCTAGTCCCTTATCCTGGGATCTTGCAGCTGGAGCTTGGCTTGAGGATGTTTAGGCTGCACAGTGAAACTTTCCCTCTGAAGGAGTTTTAGCCACTGACCATCCAGGCTGAGCCCTGTCATCACTTATTAGACACAAAACGTTTCCCTGGCTGTGCAGCTGAGGCCTGTTATCCCCAGGCCCTGGATCTAAGGGCTTGCAGGAATCCTGCCCAAATTAAGTGGTGAGCTGGGAAATAGCAACTCCTGTGCAAGTGTATCCCCGAGCTCTGAACAGAAACACCAGTGGGTTGGATCCTGGAGTTCAGGTTCGTTCCCACAGGTTTGGGCTCATCCCTGGGGGAAGCTCCCCTTCCTTTTGCTGGGAGCTGGGATGGAGTCTCAGTGCAGCTGAACAAGTGGAAGGTGAACACATCTCAGGAACTGATTATCCAGTGTCAGACTTGTTTGTATGTGCTTGTCCTTGCAGAAGGAAATATCCTTAATGCTGTTTTGTGGGTCCAAACCATGTCTTTCTGTAGGGAAATCAGTTGTCCCAGGAACTTCTGTGCCATTACCCGTGGAAGCAAAGGTGGCTGAAGAGGGGAATATCCAGAAGTTTCTGTCATAGCTTCTGTAAGTGATAGTCCCAGAATATCCTGAGTTGGAAGGGACCCACAGGGATCATCGAATCCAACTCCTGGGCCTGCACAGGACACCCCAGTTTCATGTTCTTTGTCTTCAAAGCACCAAAGGCTGAGGCTTGTTAGGAGAGGAGCAGGGGGATGAGCACAGCTGGGTGAAATGAGAGGGGAGTGCACCAGAAGGTGCTTTCTCTGGGGTTTTTATCTATTTATTTGAGCTAAAGCCACTCACCACAGTCTCCTTGAGACAGAAGGGCACAGGAGAACCACTGCTGGGCCACGGGGGCACCACCAACCCAGGAATGTGTCCCTCACTCTGTCCTCCTGATCCCTTTTCCAGTGGGCACACTGATGCCTCCCACCTCTCTGTAGGACACTGGCACTGAAGTGTAGGGGCTAAATAATCCTCTTCTGAAGAAGGACCTTGCTTGTTGGCTCATTTTTTTGGTGAAAGATCCCTTTCTCTTCGTGTGTCACCATAACTGGTGTCATTTGTTTTTCCCCCAAAATTTACAGATCTCAGCCTGCACAAGGGTGGGGTGAAGCTTTAATTGGTGTTCTTAACTGTCTTCACATTTTAGCTTCTAGTCAAAAAATTTAAAAATGCAAAGCAAAAGGGTCCCACTTCTAAACCATGAGTTCCGAGACGCTGTCAGACCCCGGGTGCTGTCGGTGCTGTGGGACAGCCCGGAGGCTTTGGCTGGGACAGGGATCTCTGAGCTGTCCTGTCCACACCTGGGGCTTTCTATGGGCTGGTCTGGGAAAATAACATGTTCTCTGTGTAGGTATAGTTAAGCTTGTACATAACTGCATCTCTGCACACAAGAACAATCTGCCCGTGCAGGTCCTGGTTCTCCTCCCAGTGCCGTTGTCTCCGAGGGCTGGGCTGGAGGAGCTCAGTTCGAAAGGAAAGCAACTGCAACCCCAACAAAACAATGGTGCCAGTGTCAACTCTGCAGCCTCCAGACCTTCCCAGGGCACACAGGAGGACAGCAGGGAGGTGCAGCAAAGGGAAAGGAGCTGCTGGAAATCCCGAGGGATTTGGATCCGGCGCGGCCGTTCCGGCCCCGGAGCTGCGGCTGCTGTCGGTGCTGGCTGTGTTTTTAGGGGCAGTTTTTAGGGTGCCTTCATTGCTGGTGCTCCTGTCAGACCCCACAGCGCTGGTTTGGGGGTTGGTTTGTTCTGAGCTCCCATCCTGGAGTTGGCAGGTGGGGACACAACGTGTTTCATCCTTAAGGAAGAAGGGGTGGAACGAGAGCTCGGCACAGACCTCTCTGTGCCTTTCATCCTGTGGGATCAGCTCTGCCAAAATCAGCAACACAGCTGGTGCTGGGTAAACTTCCCAGGATTTGCTTCTGCCACACTTACAGTGGAGGTAACAGGAAGAATGAACCTGTGTTTTAGGAAGGGTTGTGCAGAATGATTAAAACACTGAGGGGTGTCGGGTTTGGTGCCAGCTGAATATTGGTTTTGTTTTGCCCAGCTAACAGGGATTATCTGTTTGTTCCAGGAGTTGGGAAGGAGCACGGAGAGCCAGGAGCCAACACATCATCTCAACACCTAAATGAAGCTTTAAGTCTGGTGAGCTCACAAATGTCTCTTCCGTGTTGGAGCTCTGCTGGGTCCCACCCTGCCCTGTGTGGAAGGTGCAGATGTTCTGGCAGGGGCTCCCTGAGCATCCTCAGCCTCTGCCAGGGGCTGCCAAGAGCACATTTGTTGGCTGCTGGATAAGACAAACCTTGCAAGTGGCTGCCAGAGGGGCTGCCAGAGCTTTCTGTGAGCAAGGAGAAATCAGGATCCCTTCTCTGATGTTCCAGACTTCCTGCTTTGGGTGATTGGAGATGAGTGGTTTGTGGTGGGAACCATGGGCTCTCTGTCACACACTGTGCTGGAAATCCTCCCAGTTCCAGCAGGTTCTCTGGGTGCTGGCTGCTGCCACGTGCTGACCTGGTTTTTCTCTCTCCAACAGATCTGTTGCTCTTTCTGAAACCTCCCCAGGGAACACTCCCAACAGAAATGGCAGGTAAGAGCACCTCCAGTATGGCAAAGGAGGGAGGGTGGTTTCCAAAAGCGTTGTCCTTTGTGCTGTGGTGGCTGTGACACGTCAGGAACATGACCTGTGTCCCTTCCCGAGATCTTGGTGCTCCCTAAAGCTCTTCAGCTGCTTCTCTTACCTGGGGCAGGTTCACTTTCCTGCTGTGTCCTCTGGGAATCTGTCACCTGAGGTCACTGCTCGAGTGCTAAAGGCTCAGGTGAGACTTGCTTGAAAAGTTTCAGGAGGATGGAATTTATTCACCAAAAAATCCCTGGGAATAATCCCTTCCTTGCAGAGGCTTTGCACAGCACTCCCAGCTGTGCTATTGGTGTTGGTCCATCTGAATTTTACTTGTAGTGAAACCAGCAACAAAATTGCAGCTTTTTTAAGGTAGGAGGAAGTGTGGAACTCTCCTGCAGCTGCTGCTCCTTGGGGCTGCAGTTTGGTTTCTGAGAGCACAGGGTGTGTCTGCTGATGCAGGGTGTTGATCCCTGCCTTGATGGGAGAGCTGCAGCACTCCAGGCTCTGCAGTCAGACATGAAAGGGGATGTTTTAATTCCATTTCTTTTGTCTGATCTCAGAAGTAACCCAGAGCAGTTGGAAACCACAGTTGGTCTCTGGGTGGGAGGAGGTGGGCAGGAGCAGAGAGGAGGTGGAATCCCCATCTCTGTGCACCTAGCAAACAATTTGGGGCATTTTATGAGCTTCAGAAATGACAAACTGCAGTGGCTGGTTGGTTTTGGCCCCACCATCTGCATTAGAAACTGGCAGCAGCTCTGCTGCCCACGACAGAAAATGGGAGGGAGCAGAGCCACAGGAACAATCTGCAGCTTCAGCTGCTGAAGAGGGACAGAACAAAAGTTTCCTCATCCCTCAAAAAAACCCCAAAGATTATTAGAGAACCCTGTGTCTGATTAATCTGGTTCTCACTGACTTCCCTAGAGACCTGCCTGCTCAGTTTTAGGAGCTGTGCCCCCTCCTTTCCCTTGGTCCAGCCTTGTGAAGTCCCTTTCCAGGCTGCAGGGACACACTGTGCAGGAGAAACCCTGTTAGGTGTTTACAGCAAACAAAAAATCAGTGCCAAGGAGTCCAAATTCCCGTGGACTTGGACAGCATCTGGTGGGGTTTGTTCATCCATGTGCTGGGGGCAGCAGCAGGGGTTAACCAGTAACTCCAGCCAGCTTAGGGGGCACCTGAATCAACGTAAAATGGGTTTGGGGGAGGAGGGGCAGAGGAATTAATGTTTGTTTTCAGGAGGAAAAGTCAAACTGGGCTGGTGACTGCAGCTGTTATTCCACAGTTGCTTCTGATGTGCCCCCAGTGGGAGTTCTCCTCACCAGATTTTCTGTGTGAAAATATGCATGAGGGGAAGGCTCTTCCTTCCTAAAGCCTGGCTTAAGCTTTAGGCTCTTCCCTGCCGACCTTCAAACCAAACGGAGCTCAGGAGCTGCTCCTGCAGATTGTCTTCTCCCGTGGAGATAATGGGAAGAGAAGGAACTCTTGTGCTGACAGTTCTTGTTCAGACATTTCCTCTCATCTCCTGTGCCATTTGGAGGTTTTCCCGGGACATTCCTCATCTCTTCCTCTGGTTGTTTTTAATTCTGTTTACTGGGGCTGAAGGAGACGAGAGACAATTAGTCACAATGCCCTGGAAGCAAACTTTAATCAGCTCTGCAAGGCAAGAGCAAACATTCCCAAACATGCAGGAACATCCAGGCACACACAGACAAATCTGGGAGCTGACAGCAGCTTCAGTGCAGAGGATTTGGGCATTTAATTACTTGATTTTAAAACATAATTTCTTCCCAAGGTAGGGTTTTCTTCACCACAGTGCCTTTGGCAGCACTTGCTGATTTATTGTCTCTGAATGCAAAGCTTTTTTTTTCTTTTTTTTTTTTTAATTTGCTTTTTTTTTTCCTCCTGGGATTTACCCTTGCAGGAAAAAAATTGAACATACCCTTTTTTATTGAAAATCACGAGTCTTTTAAAAAGAAAAAACCATCCCTGACACAGAATCATGGAATCCCAGAACAGTTTGGGTTGGAAGGGACCTTAAAACTCATTCCATTTTTTCTGAGGAACCTCATCCTGGCAAGATTTTTGTCTTGCAGCACCTTTTGTGTAAAGGCATTAAATCCACGTGATGCTTATTAGGTTGTTCCTATTCCCCTCTCTCAACCTTGCATGTCCCAAAATAAATGTCCTCTGTGTTCTGTGTTGCAGAAAAGGTGAACAACTTCCCCCCACTCCCCAAGTTCATCCCCCTGAAACCCTGTTTCTACCAGAATTTCGCCGATGAAATTCCCATCGACCACCAGTTCCTGGTGAAGAGAATCTACCACGTCTGGATCTGTAAGTTCAGCGAGAAACCCGTGCTGGGGAAAGGTGTATGTGGGATAAAACCCCCAGAGATCCCAGTGGCCGATGTGCTTTGAAGTTTTGACTGTAATTAGTTGCTGAGGAGCAAGGATTCCTCTTGGAATACTGTAATATAACTTGAATACTGTGATATAACTTCATGCCTAAACTTTGAGCTGCTGTGCCTTGAATCTTTGAAGAGTCTTGAAAGAGAGTATCAGTGCTAGAAGAACCTGTTAGGAAATTGGAAAAGGGAACAGGCAGAATATGTTTGATGTCTTTATTAATATCAAGTGATCATGGAATCATGGAATGGTTTGGGTTGGAAGGGACCTTAAANTTGGAAAAGGGAACAGGCAGAATATGTTTGATGTCTTTATTAATATCAAGTGATCATGGAATCATGGAATGGTTTGGGTTGGAAGGGACCTTAAAGCTCATCCCTTCCCACCCCCTGCCATGGGCAGGGACACCTTCCACCAGCCCAGGTTGCTCCTTTGATCCAGCCTGGCCTTGGGCACTTCCAGGGACGGGGCAGCCACAGCTGCTCTGGGCAACCTGTGCCAGGGCCTCCCCACCCTCACAGCCAACAATTCCTTCCCAATATCCCATCTCACCCTGCCCTCTGGCAGTGGGAAGCCATTCCCCCTGTCCTGTCCCCCCAGACCCTTGTCCAAAGTCCCTCTCTAGCCTTTTTTAACTGTCCAAATTATCCACCCAGTTCCCCTAAAGTGAGACAAATGGGAGAATTTTAGGCAAGAAAATCAACGTGGCCCCTTTGCTGCTCCCTGGCTCCCAAACTCACTCTGGGAAGGCTCAGGCTTCCCCTTGTGCCATCCACAGATCTCCCTTCCCAATGGATGCAGTGTCCTCTAGCCACGTGCTGGCTCTGCCTGAGCTTTCCACAGCCCCCCAGGGCATTCCCCATCCTGCTGGAGCAGGGAGCTGATCCTCTCTCCATCCCAGCTGATATTCCATGGGAACAGAGCTCCTGGCTCTGGGCTCCTGTTCTCTGCCTCAGCCATTCAAAAAAACTGGGAATAAAAATTGACCATTCTTCTCCAAGGAATGGAATCAGTGTGGCAGGCCTAGGAAACCACAGGCAATGCTTTGGGAGATTAAAAAAAACCACTTTGCCTTGCTTATCTTTTTTCCCCCAAATGCTTGTTCAGCCTCTTTTCCCCCTCCTCGTTTTCTGCCAGCCCTGCACTCGGTGGCGTGGCTTTTATTCCAGATGCATGGGATGTGTGTAGGAGAGGGATTTGTGTGCATAAATAATGGCATAATCCGTGGCTCCATTGTTCTTTGGTTATGTGGAGCTGCTGCAATGAGCTCTGTAATTCTCTTGCCTGAAGAAGCTGCTTGTCCCTCCAGACTCACTGGGCCGAGGCTGCGGCTCTAAAGCCTCTTTTGTCCTCCCCTGTCCCCGAACAAAGAGTCCCTCAGTGGAGTTAATGGCAGGCTGGAAGGGTGCCAGGGATTTGGGCACGGCCAGGAGACCTCCATCTGCACCAGGGGTTTCACATTTCCATCTGCAGCGTCGGGGTCTCCCCGATTTGTGGTTTTTTGGCAGGGGATGGAGGGAGGGACACGCACAGGGAAGGTGGTAAATGAGAAAAAAAGGCCAGTTTCATAAAGCAGCAGCACAAAAGTCGTTGCTGGGAGGGTGAGGGCTCGTTATTTTAATTGGATGTGAGTGTTTGGTTGAGGTGGAGGGGGTTTGGGGAAGCCTGGACCAGAGCTCCCACTGCTGGAGAACAAACTCCAACCTGAGGCACTGGGAGAGCATTAAAACTTTACTGAAGTAAACTAAAAGTTCCTTAAAACTTTATAGGTGCTCTTGGCTTGGTGGTGTTGGTTTGTTTGTTTGTTTTTTAATTATGTAACTTTTGGAGAATAAATTACGTCTGAAAAGAAGAATTAGAAGTGCAGCTAATTGCTGTATAAGTGAAATTCCATAGAATCCCAAATTGGTTTGGGTTGGGAGGGACCTTTAAGCTCATCCAGTCCCACCCCCTGCCCTGGGCAGGGACACCTTCCACTAGACCAGGTTGCTCCAAGTCCCATCCAGCCTGGCCTTGGACACTTCCAGGGATGGGAAGTTAAACCTGTATTTAAGCCTGTTAGTTTAAATACCTAAAATTAATTAATTTAAGTAAATAATGTTCTTTCTTCCCCCCAGTATTAAACCACATCCAAACCAGGGTGTATAAAGCCTTGTTGGCCACTCAGAGGAATTTCTCTTTGCAGTAAGCAATGTTTAATTTTAACTCTCAGGCCCTGTGTGAGGCAGAAGCAGCAGCTGAGTTCAGGTGCTTTCCTTTCCACACTGCATTCTCCTCACGGGGCTGTCGCTGTTATTTGATGACCATAAAACCTTGTAGCTGTTTTAGGACCCCCCAGGCTGTGTGAAGAGGAGGAAAGGGAGGAGCCAGAAGGAGCAGGCCAGTGATGTGCAGATGAGCTGCAGAGCCACAGCGTGTAGTGGAACAAGGAACAGGCAGGACAGGTGAAGAGAAATTCAGGGATTTAATTTTGCCCAGAGAGCTGAGGCCAAGGTCCAAAGTGTCACTGTCAGCTCATCCCCAGCTGTGCTGGAGGGTCTTTGCTGTTTGGACCCTCCACCTCCTCCTTCCTCTGTCCTCATTTATACAGGTTTTTAGGAGTTACCCCCTGTTTTCCAAAGCAGGAGCTTGTAGTTGGGCTGAGGCTCTCTTGGACACTGGCAGAGCCTGGGGGGCTGCAGGGAGGAAAGCAGGGAGCCCCTGGCATGGGGCTGAGCCCAGCCTGCCAAAGCTGGGGGGGAGCAGCCCCCTTTTCCAGGGATGTGAGCTCCAGGGAAAGGGGGAGCAGCATCACTTCATGCACAGCTACTTAGTGCAGCACTGCTGTGCTCTGGGGGCCTTTGTCAACTGTTCCTTTTTATCCAAGTGACAGGAACAGGGATGTGAAAAGGCCTTTAAGGCACCCCCATGGTCCCATATTCTCAGCCTGATTGGAGTTTGCTTATCCCCTCACTCAAGGCAGCACTTCCAAGGCCTCAGGCTGACTTCCAGGATTCCTCAGAGGCCCAGGGAAGCGGAGACAGAGCCTGCAAGGCACTGAGCTGGCTCTGAAGCTCCTGAGGCAGCCCCAGCGAGCAGAGTCACTCAGTGTGGGTTCACCCCTCTCCTCTCACAAAGGGGGTTTGCTACAAATGGAAATTGGACCTTGCTCCCAAGTCATGATAATACTGACCTGAGTCTTGTGTTGGTTGCACTGGTTGCTGCTGTCTCTCCATCCTCTGGCAGGTCCCAAAAGAGGTCCCTCGTCCCTGTGCTGCAGGATCCCCCCAGAGCTGGGTGTGCTCCGGGGTCACACGGGAACCTGTGACTCGCTCTGAGCTGCTGCATTGCTGGGCTTGAGCTTCCCACTGCCCCAGGGGCCCTTCCCATTAGAGCACGGGGGTTTCACAGAATCCTGGGATACCCTGAGCTGAAGGGACCCACAGGGATCATCCAGTCCAACCCCTGTCCCTGCCCAGAGACTCCAACAATCCCACCCTGTCCCTCACAGCGTTGTCCAAATGCTCCTGGAGCTCTGGCAGCCTTGGGGCCGTGCCCACTGCCCTGGGGAGCCTGGGCAGTGCCCCAGCACCCTCTGGGGGAAGAACCTTTCCCTGAGATCCATCCCAACCCCCCTGGCACAGCTCCAGCCGTTGTTTTTCGTTTCCTTTCTTTGCGAAGTCGTGAAGCTGCCCCACCCCACGCTGTCCTCTGCCCTCTCCCCAGTTTACTGCATCACCCTGGCAGTGAACATCGTTGCCTGCCTGGCCTGGTGGATCGGGGGAGGCTACGGGGTCAACTTTGGCCTGGCCATCCTGTGGCTGCTCCTCTTCAGCCCCTGTGGCTACGTCTGCTGGTTCCGACCTGCCTACAAAGCCTTCCGGTGAGTAGGAGCCCTCGAGGGGCTTCTCTTCCAGTTCCCTCTGGGAGAGACCCGTGTTGTTGCTGGGAAGTGCTCCTGGAGAGATCTCTGTGTCTGGGATAAAGATTTTTTATTTTTTTTTCTTGTTTACTTTCAAAATGAAGAAGAATGTGGTTACTTTTTGTAGGACTGAGGGTCACCCACCTGGGGCTGGAGGTGAGCAGCCACTCCCATGAGGGTGAAATTCATGTTTTACTTAAATATCTCAAGCTTAGCTGCACCCTCATCTCAGCACAGCATTAAAATACATACTAATTTGGTAGAGCTTCATTGAGGCTTATTTTGATGGAAGACTATTAACTTATTAGTTTTTGAGAACTCTTGTGGTTTCTTGAGCAACTCAAGAGCTTGGCTGCTTTGCTTTTTAGATAAAAGCAGTTCCCTGGAGCCAGTCCTTCTGCAACTCCACAAATATTTAAAGCCATCCTACATTTTCACTTTAATTAATAATCATTTGCATTTGCTCACGCTTGCTGTGGACAGGAGGCATCACTCAGACATTAATGTGTAATGCCTGGCAGAGCTGTGAGGGGCCTGAGCAGCTTCCAGCCTGACACAGGGACAGGAGGGACCTGCCTGGGACCACCACCCCCCAGTCAGGGGTTTGCACCCTGAAGGTGAAGCTCTTTCTGGTAGAATGCTCTGGGTTTTGATTATTCACCAGGTTCTGTGATGAGCTGGTTTGGGTAACAGCAAAAGCAGCTGATGGAAATGGGAGGTGGCAGGTGGGTCCTGTCTGTTTGGCACATCATAAATTAGTTGTTTAAATGCTCTTCTGGGTTTGTGTGCCAGCAGCAGTGGGCAGTGCTTGAATCACCAGTGACTCCATCATGGAGTACAGGGGAGGATTATTTCTGGTGGAAAAGAGAGTTCTAAATGACCTGAAAACTCCAGCTCTGAGCTTTTGCCCTCTGGGGCTGGGCTTTGTCCCCATCCCGAGCCCAGAAGCCCAAGGGCCTCTGCTCAAAGGGGAATTTCCATTCTGAAGTCTGGGAAAAATTACTCCTCCCCACTGCCCTCCCCTGTGCTCCACGAGGGCTGTTTCTAATTATTCCTTTAATGTTGTTTGTACGTGTTTATGCAACTGAATGCTGGAAGGTCCCCGAGGTTACTCTGTGCACAGTTAAATAAGGAATCACCCCCCGCACAGAGTGGGGAGCCCAGGGATCATCCACTGGGACATCAGCTGGGGAAGAGGCCTGGAAATCACTGCAGTGCTGCTGTGGGATCACAGCTAGTGATTCCAGAGGCCAGGGCAGCCCCACGTGCTCTGGAGGAGGCCACCCTTCAGTGCTGGCATCCTGTCCTGCACGGATGCTGCCCTAAAACCCTCGTCATCCCAGCACATCCCAGATTGAATTAACTGCAGAGCCCTGGCACAGAGCTGGAGCCAATCTGCACCAGAAAGCTGGATGAGGAATCACCTTTTCTCTGTATCCTTACTAATTCCTGCAGATCCTTTCAACTGAAGACTCCTCCAGCCCCTTCAGGTCGGAGTTGCAAGAGTCTTGTTTGAAGGCTCAGCCTGGAGCCTAATCCCTGTTAATTGGATTCCAACAGGCACCACTGTGAGCAGGCCCCGTTTAAAGTATTTCTTTCACATGGCTGTGCTCTGAGGTGGTATTTGAAGGGCAGGACTGGGAGGATGGTCAAGGATGACAAAACTCCCACAGCATCTCTGTGGCCACCATTTGGAAGCTGACAGATGCCTGGACCAGCACGGGTCTGGCTGGAGGCTTTTCCACATCTCAGACCAGCCAGGATCCAGAGCTTGGGGTCCCACTTCCTTGGGTATCAGGGGCTAGAATTATGACACTAACAAACATAAATATAATAAAAATAATTGAAATAATAAACATTTAAACACTGTCAGGGTTTAAGCAGGAGCTGGCAGTGGCTGGAGCTCCTTTGCACCAGGCTGCCTCATAATCAACTGCTTTGTGTAAATCTGCTGTACAAAATCATTGGCACTTTGAGTTCCTGGGAGGATGGGAACCATTTGTGTAATTAAAAATGGTAGTTTTGGGGAGTTTTAGATGTGCCTGACGTGACTGGTTTAATGGGATGGAGATGTTCTGTGGCAGAGCCCCCAAGTGCCCCCATGACAGAGACCTTGAGTGCACCTGCTCAGCCTCTTGCTGGGGTCATTTTCATGCTAATTACTGTACCTGCATAAATTCCAGGACCTCACCTGTACATCCTGAGGATGGGGAGCCTGCAGAGATGGGAGTTGTGCCTCTGCTGTCAGGGCACCACCCACCTCCCTCGTGGCTGTTTTCCCTCCTAGTGTGTCCCAGGGCTGGATTATTAACTGTGGGCGTGTGAACACGATGACAGGCAGGCACTGGGACATTCCCAGCTGGAATTCTCATGCTCAGGGATCCCTTTCAGTGTGTGGACAAGCTCTGCCTGCCAGTGGCAGGTCCCCGTGTGCCTCCTTGCCAGTGGCTGAGCTGGTGGGCAGTGTCAGGCTGGGCTGATGTTTGCTCAGAGAATGATTCAAACACTGTAGGAGCCTTGTGTCTCTCCATGTGTGTCACCATAGTGCAGTTACTGGGGTAGAGCAATTCAGGAGCCGGGTTATGGGGAGGGAATAGGTGCTGCTGAGTCATGGAGCTGTGTGCTCTCCCTGCCTGGGGCAGAGGAGGAGCCTCCCAAGCACAGGGATCCCTCCGGAGACACCACGTTGGGGGGTCAGACACCAGTGTGAAGGAGCACAAGGTGCCAGTGCCCCCCTGACCTCCTGTGTCCCTCTGCAGGTCAGACAGCTCCTTTAACTTCATGGCCTTTTTCTTCATCTTCGGGGCACAGTTCGTCCTGACGGTGCTGCAGGCAATCGGCTTCTCCGGATGGGGCGCGTGGTGAGTGGGATGCTCTGGCTGCAAACACAGCCTGGGGCTGTTCCCCCTTCTTTTTTGAGAAGCTGGTGGGAGTCTGTACAGGGTGGAGTGGGAGAAGCTTTCAGTTTTCCCTTGTGCACAGTTATATCAGCCCTGGGGGTGCACAATTCGGGTTTCTTCGCTGTGGTGGCAGAAGTCAAGGCCAGGTTGGACGGGGCTTGGAGCAACCTGGTCTGGTGCCAGGTGTCCCTGCCTGTGGCAGGGCATGGGACTGGACCTTTAAGGTCCCTTCCAACCCAAACCATCCTGGGATTCTGTGATCTTCACCTGTTTGTTCTTTCTGGCACCTTCCCCCAGTGCCCATTTCTTTCACCATTTAACCAGGCTCAGCCTTGCCCTCGGTGTTGGCAGTGCCCGGTGAGCAGGGTGGGATGACTCACTGTTGGCCTGTGGAGAGGTATTGTGAGAGTTCTCCTAAGATAAATGGGAGTGTGTTGGTGTCTGTCCCTGGTTATGTTATAATTGTTTCCCTGAATCCCAGAATTTGCTGAGCTGGAAGGGATCCTCAAGGATCATCAGTCTGACCCTCAGCCCTGCACAGGCCCATCCCCAGGAGTCACACCATGGGCCTGAGAGGATCATCCAAACCCTCCTGGAGCTCTGGCAGCCTTGGTGCATTTGTTTGGCATTTTAACTTCCTGTGGAAAGGACAAGTCTTGCAAAGGCCCAGCATACCCTGGAACACTTTGCTGTCATAGCTGTGATGCCCTACCTGGCTATTGCCATCCAAGGAATGGAGGTGGAGTGTAAATCAGAGGACCCTGGTGTTCCCTGATGCCAGTTCTGATCTCTGGGTGCATAACCAAAAGCACCTTGGGAATAGACCTTCTGTCCCCAGACTCCATGCAGCTGGCTGCCCCTTAAAGCTCTGAGGCTGGATTAGCAAGGGGTGCTGGCCTTGTTAAGAGTTAAGAGCTTGGGGAAATACCTGCCTTTCGTTCTGTCCATTTTCCTCATGGCTCTTTTCATTTTCAAGAGCTTTAAAGCTGCCTTGTAACTTCTGGGCTATGAAGCCCAGAATGGTTTGGGTTGGAAGGGGCCTTAGAGCTCATCTCATCCCACCTCCTGCCACGGGCAGGGACACCTTCCACCTTCCACTGTCCCAGGTTGCTCCTTTGATCCAGCCTGGCCTTGCACACTTCCAGGGGTGGGGCAGCCACAGCTCCTCTGGGAAACCTCTGCCAGGGCCTCCCCACCCTTATAAGCGAGCAGACAGTTTCTCTGGTAACAAGGACACTTTAAAAAGGGAGTTCTAATGCCACTGCCTCTCTCTCTGTGTCTCCTGCAGTGGGTGGTTGGCAGCCATCACCTTCTTCAGCACCAGCGTCGCCGCCGCCGTGTTCATGCTGTTCCCTGCCATCATGTTCACCCTGTCGGCCGTGGCCATGCTCATCTGCATCCTAAGGGTGGGTTCTTCCTGGGGGAGGTGTCCCTGCCCACGGCAGGGGGGTGGAATGGGATGGGCTTTATGCTCCCTCCTGACCCAAACCATCCTGGGATTCTGTGGCTCTTCAGATCTGTCTCTGATTTGGGTTATCTGCCTTTTGTGTCGCGACAGTGTGGAGAGGCAACTCAGCCACCACTGCTTTGAAAGGCTGTTCAGTGCAGTCAGCTGGTGTCTCTTAAAGTTCCCAGGAGACAAATCCAGACAGCACAAGACAGCTCAGGCTGGGCATTGTCACCGTGTCGTGTGGCGATGTCACTTTACGTCCCTCAGCACAAGCTTCATGTGAAGCAACGTGAAGCTGCGTGAAATGGGGAGGTTTAGATTGGATATTAGGAACACTTTTTTCATGGAAAAGGTTGTAAAGCACTGGCACAGGCTGCCCAGGGCAGTGGTGGGGTCACCATCCCTGGAGGTGTTCAGACAACGTGTGGATGTGGCCCCTGGGGACATGGTGTGGTGTTGGTGTGGGGTTCATGGTTGGACTTGGTGATCTTAAAAGTCTTTTCCAACGTTAACAATTCCTTAATTTCCCCCTGCAGTGGGGACTGGGTGGCAGGGTGGGAAGTGGTCCTCTGCAGAAAGAAGGATTTGGAGGTAGGACTGGCTGGAGAGCTTTGGCAGATGGAAGAGGAGGGGAGAAGACAGAAGCCCTGTGGAAGCAGCTGTGTCATGTTGGAGAGGTTTTGGCCCTCTGGCTGCCTTGCTGGAGGATCCCTCACCTCAGTCTTGGGCATGTGGCTGAAATGGGTCCAAGTCTGGTGTTAATATCATTTGTTTCCACCTCTGTTCACTGTATTACTGCATTTTTAGTGCTTTTGTTCCTCAGAAATCCAGCTGACAGAGAGAGGAACAAATCCTTGACCAGGTGGCTGCAGCTCTGCAGAGCTGAGGGCTCCTGGTGGTGACTCCTCCTGTTCTCCCTTCTGTCCATCAGGTACATAAAATCTACCGAGGGGGTGGTGGAAGCTTCCAGAAGGCTCAGGACGAGTGGAACAGCGGTGCCTGGAGGAACCCCCCCAGCAGGGAGGCCCAGTACAGCAATTTTTCTGGGAACAGCCTGCCAGAGTATCCCACAGTGCCCAACTACCCCCCAGGAAACCAATGGCCTTAAGCAGCAGCAGCTGCAAACTGCCTGGATTCTCTCCTTTTTGGTCTTTTAATTCTTGTCATTGGAAAAGATCATTTGCATTCCCTCCCCCAGGCACCCCAGTCACCTTTTTGGGACCTTTTTGGTTCTCGTCTCCTGGTCCCTGTGGAAGATCCTGTCAGCCCTTCCCACCTCCACTGCACGGCCGTGGCACAAAGCTTTTTTGTTTGCCTTGAGCTACCAGTATTTGCCTCGTTGCAGACTGAGGAACAAACCCTTCAACAACTGCCCTTCCTCGAGGGAATCCTCTCCTGACCATCCCCGAAAAAGGCTCAACTTCCCCCAGTGGCAACACTAACCACAGCTGCTCCTGCTCAGCTTCCCTGGAATGCACAGCACCCCGCAGCAATCACAGCTTTAGTAGCAACTGGTGTTTACTCTCCTGGATGAATAATGTGGAATTTTTCACTCTAAGGGAAATGCAAGACTTAAATTATTTGGTACTAGTGATAGGGAAGGGATCTGTGAAACCCCCGCCCTCCCCGCCGGGAACGGGAGCTGTGAAGGCCACGAGAGTCCTCCTTTGTCTGGCTCAGACTGCTGTGATGCTCCAAGTCCTGCCTTCCCTGCTGCCAAAGCTTTTTGCCGGATCTTTGTGCTTCAAAAGGTGCAGATTCATCTCATGAGGTTGGTGGTTGCTCACTGGAATCCGGCACCGAGCCGGCCCTGGGGATGTGCCCCCCGTGCAGGGCTCAGCACGAGAGCTCCCCACCACGGACCTTCCAGCCAGGCCTTGTGCTGCCCTGAGAAATGCCCCACCAGACACACCTTGTCCTGTTGGGGGTCCCTTTTCCGGGGGTCCCTTTCCCAGGGCTCCCAGCCAGGGCCGGATGGAGGATAACGCTGGGTCTGGGTGCTGGGCCCCCAGTGCGGTTTGGAAGCGGTTCTGTTACAATGAATGGTTTAATTCTGCCTTCTGCTGATGGCCTTGGACTCCAAACATTACAGTGGGGCTGGGAGGACCAGGGAGGGCTCCTTAGTGTGAGCTGGGCAGTCCTGGTCTGCAGCACTTCCCTTCCAGGAGAGGGAGGTTCCTGCCTTTCTCCAAGGATCAGCTGGAGGGAGGATGAAGCTGTTGAGAGGGATTGTTTTCCCTGGCTCTGCCTCTTCATTCATCTCCATTCTGTGCCTGCACATCAGGGCTCCTGGAGCCTGAGCCATCCAATTCCCTGTGTCTTGTCCTGATCCAGGCAGCAAAGGCTGCGGTTTCCTCTTCCCCCTCAAAACCTGCTGTGATGTTTTTTTCAAACTTGTCCAAACTGGGAGGTCAGTCCCCAATATTTTTTAGAGAGTGAGTGTCCCAAGCCTTTGGCTCTCAAATTTTTGGCCAACGATCCAGAGTGCTCCATGTGGGGGATCTGGGAGGGGTTGGGCACCCCAGAGCCTGCTGCCCTGGCAGGCTGTCAGTGGGGTCACTCCAAAGCCACACTGAGCAGCTGGAGATCAGAACTGGCTCCTGGAAAAGGGACAGGGAGGTGGTCCTAGCTAGGTGGAATAGATTTGCAAGTGATCTTTTGAATATTTTCTCTACATGTGCCTTATCTAACGGAATCATAGTTCATGGAGGAGAATCCCCTTCCCCTCATCCCTGCGGAATTCCCCATTAACTCGTCCCGTGTCACTGTAAATAATGAGGGAAGCACAGCCTGGAGTCTGCATGACCCATGTTTCCAGGGCCAAACTGGAGGGCAGAGCCTCCCTGAATTTCAGTTTACAAGCAGCACTGACCCCCCCCTGCAGGACCAGGCTCTGGGACACGGAACGTGCTCCCAACACCGGGGGTTCTTCCTGGCGGGTGTGGGATGTGCTTGGGAGCACGGAGTGCTTGGAGCCTCCTTACCAGAACACATTGTGAAGCTTTTTCGGTGCCTTTGTCTCGTGTCAAGTGTAATTTTAAGTGTTCTTTGTCGCTTGCCATCGGAGTGATACAAGAACTGCCTGGCGTTGACTCCCTGGAAATACGATGGATGCACTACGGGGTGAGGGGGATTGATGGGCTTGAAGGTGGCATTGGGCACCCTTGGGTGCCCCATGTCCTGGCTCTCATGCTCCTTGGTCCTGCCTCTCAGCCTCTTGCCAAAATTCTTCAAAACCCATTGGTTTTCTGCCGTTTTTTAGCGCGTCAGGTCAGAGGTTCCGAGGGAGCCACGAGGAGAAGCGTTGCTGGGGACTGCACATCCCGCCCCTCGCTGGGTTCCATGGATGATCTGGGGGGGCTGTGTTTAAGCTCCCACCCCCAGCCACACTGACAGTGCTTTGTGCAAGAGGAGGGGATGCTTGGGAGCCGGAATGGCCGCAGCTGGACACCAAAACCACTCCCCATTAGCTCCGTGAACCCCCAGGTGGGATCTGCCACCTCATCCCCCTCCCTCCTCCTCGAAGCCACAAACCGTAATTCCAGAAAGTCGACACCCCCCCCCGCTGCCTGAACAACTTATTTTGTGGCTTTTTTTTTGTTTGTTTGTTTTGGGGGTTTTTTTGGACTCCTCTGTATGTTTTTAAATGTTTACATTAGACTTCTAAGAGTTCTTAACCCCCCGGGCCGGGCCTGGCTCCTGCCCCGGCCGGGCGTCACGTGGCCGTGTCCGTGTGCGATGTCTCGTGTCACCCGTGGAGCTCTGGCTTCTGTTTGTGTTTTTCTCCTGATCACAAGACAATAAATGCTCATCCTGTGCTTGATGAGGAGAACTGGCCGCATCGGGGAAGTGTCTGTTCCTAGGTAACCAGAGTTATCTGGCACAGGGAAATGGTAAAATCTCTCCTTTTCCTCCCAAAGTCTCCCACTGCGTGTTGTTTTTTGGGGAGAGAGCACGTTGATGGATGAGGCTCATCCTCTGTGCTGGGCACTGCTGGGAGTGGTTTGTGCTCTTAGAGAAAAGGCCTCACCAGCTTTTACCAAAGCTGCTGCCCATTCTCATTTCTGGCGAGAACAGGGAGCAGAGGTGGGTGGTGGGGAGAAAGTCCCATCTCCCAAGTGCTGGGGTCGAGTTTTTCCTGCCCCCTCCACAGTCCTGGTGTTTGCCTTCCCCAGTTTATTGCCCCAGAGGAGACTCTTATCCCTGGAGTAAATGGGCTGTTGGACAGTGAAGGTGAGTCTGTTCAGCACAGGGCTGAAAATATTGCCCCAGATTAGAATCCCAGAATGGTTTGGGTTGGAAGGGACCTTAAAGCTCATCTCATCCCACTTCCTGCCATGGGCAGGGACACCTGCTATCCGAGGTTGCTCCTTTGATCCAACATGGCCTTGGACACTCCCAGGGAACTCCAGGTGGGAATATGGGAGTTACCATATTGTGGCTTCACACCCCAGTTCTGCTCCGTGGCAGATCTTTAATCCTAAAAGAGCTGTTTCCATCACAGCTGCCAATGCAGCATCTGCCAATCTCAGTGTCTTCCTTACCCCCAAAGCCCTGTGCCAGGTGCCCCTGCCCAGCCCTCCCCACCCCACTCCCACAGTGGTTCCCTTCAGCTGCTGCTGTGCCCTGTGTTGAGCACGGGAATGAAAAGGATTTTACTTAAATTCTTGCTCCAGGCCCTCAAAATCTGAGCATGAGGCACATTTTCAGCTCCTGCTCCAGCTGCTGCTCGGGCAGGACCTCGGCCCTTGTGAGCCACGAGTTCTTTGACTCCCTCACCCTCGGGACAGGGCAGGATTTACCAGGAAGGTGGGAACGGGGGTGTTGTGCAGCCAAGCTCAACCCCCCCGCCCCAAGGAGCTCCCAGAAGGCTCAGGATCCCCAGGATCAGGCTGTGAGGGATGCTGCCAGGGCCTGGCTTTTCCTTTGTCTGGTTCTTTCTGTGTTTCTGTCCCTCTGCAGCCTCCCAGGCCCTGATGTCCTGCCCTGGGAAGGTGTCACCCACCTGCCCCTGGAGCAGCTCGTCCTCCCGTGCAGTCACAGTGGCTCCTTTGTGTTGTTGTCTGCTTGGGAATGAGCCCCAATTGTCCTGTGCCTGCAGAAGGGCAGGGTTTGGAGCTGGATGTTTTCCTGACACAACTTCCCTGGCTTTCCTCACTCCCTGGTCCCACAGCATGAGCTGTTGTGTCTCTGCACACCTCTAGCACCCAGTGTGTTCACCGCTGCAGATTTGCCTTGAAATAAAGCCAGAACTCCTTTCTTCCCCCCCTCCTCCTGCTCCAGAGGATGGTTAAATTCTCCAGGCAAACGCCTGAACAATTGTGAGTTCTCAAAGTGCTCGAAATCGCGGGGTGGGGGATGGTGCAAAGGGGGAGGGAGGGCGGCTCTGCCCTCGGGTCCTTCAGGGGCGATTTTCTCTCTCTGGGGGCAGGACGTGGGTCCCAGCCCCTCCCCAGCCTCCCGAGCGCTACCACGGCACAGGGAGCAGCTGGAATTCACGTGCGGAGTAGCTCAGAATTCTCCTGATTCTTTTGTAGAAGCAAACACCTACAGGGAAAAACCCTTCAGCCAAATGTCGGGGGGAGAGAATTTCCCTGGAAGGTTTCTCTCCCTGGAGAGAGAATCCACTGGAGCAGCTGGAAACGGGTACTCGGGGTGATGCTGATGCTGAAGATCTGATTCTGTCCCAAAGCCACACAAAGTCAGCCCATTGCCAGGAAATGTTTTTGGGGTGAATCTGCCCCGTGCCACGAAGAAAATGAGAGAGAGCAGGGGGGTTGTGCAGGGGAGCTTTTGCCCTCCAGCGTTACCCTGAAAGCCTCAAACAGGGAAGAGAAGGAAAACAAACGTCTGGCTGTGCCTCCTTTTGCCAAGGGAGTGCAGGGAGAGAATTTTTATGGCCAAATGATGGGTCAGAATAATTCCAAAAACAAAGAAAGTGAAAGGTTTTAGGAGGTGGCAGCAAGGGCTGCCCAGCTTGCCCAGCTCCTGTTCCAGCACATCCCACAATCCTGGAGCTCTGTCTCCCTTGGAGAGGCTTTGCCTGGGCTGATGTTCTCAAAAAGGTGTCAGTCCCTATAAAATCCCAGCCCCTGACCTCCCTCTGCCCCCATGGGATGGGGTACAGGGCTGCAGCCCCTCTGTGGGACCCCCAGCCTCAGTCCCCCTCCCCACAGGCTGCCCCAGAGGGTCCACAGTGGGGCTGGATGTGTGTGGGGGCTGTGCCCTAAAATGGGGGCTGTGTCACAGAGTGGGGCTGTACCCCCAAAAATGGGCTGTACCTCAAAATGGGGTTGTACCCTTGCACAGGGGCTACACCCTAGAAAGGGGCTGTACCCCCAAAATGGGGACTGTACCCCCAAAATGGGCTGTACCCCCGCACAGGGGCTGTACCCCCAAATGAGGGCTATACCCCTGTGCTCTGCTGGCCACACAGGCCTGTCCCTACAGCCGGGCCGCTGCGCCCCAACCCTCCCGCTGTCCCTCGCCACAGCCCTGCGCCCCGCCGGGAGCACGGCGCCCTATCGCCATCCCAGTCGCGACAACCCACGCTGGGGCCACATCCCGAAGTGTGTTGTGCCCTATGTGGATCCCTCCAGCGCAGCCTGACCCCTGTGGTGCAGCAGTACCGCGGGGTCCCTGTCGCGACAGCGCCGCGTGTCCCGACGGCGCCGCGGCGTTAACGTCGAGGAGGAGCCGCCGCCGTAAAGCGCCGCCGCCGCAAAGCCCGCGCGGCGCCCGCCGCGATTCCCGAACGCGCCCTGCGCCAGCGCCGCGGGCCCCCCCGCCCCGCGGGCCGCATTCACAACGGCGGGTACGCCAGCGGCGCAGGGCTCCGCCAGCGCCCCGCGCGGCCCGTACGCCGTTAGCGCAGCGCGGGTCTACGCCGTCGGAGCGGCCTTTACGCCGTTAGCGCGGTCTTTACGCCGTTAGCGCGGCGCGGGCTCTACGCCGTTGGCGCAGCTTTTACGCCGTTAACGCAGCGCTCACTTTACGCCACTGGCGCAGCGCTCACTTTACGCCGTTGGCGCGGCCCTTACGCCGTTGGCGCAGCGCGGACTTTACGCCGTTGGCGCGGCTCAGACTTTACGCCGTTGGCGCAGCGGCCGGCGCAGGGGAGGCTGAGGCGCTGAGAGCGGGGCCGGGCCGGGGGCGCCGCCGCCATGGGGGAGCGGCCGCGGGGCAGCGGCGCCGCCGCCCGGCGCTGAGGGACCCGCCGAGGTAACGCCGTGAGGGCGCCGCCGGGGAGGGACCGGGAGGGACGGGGGGACGCCGCTCGACACGGCCCGGCAGAGCCGGGAGGGACGGGCCGCGCCGGGCGGCGCCGCGGGCGGGGGCGGTGGGGGCGCGGGGAGAGAAGGGGGCGGTGGGCGCTGAGGAGGCGGTGGGCACTGAGGAGGTGCCCCGGCTTGGCACGGAGGGCTCGGGGGTGGTGAAGGTGAGGAGGGGGTTGAGATGGGCCCGGGGGTCGCGGGGGGGATGTGAGGTTCGGCGGGACCGAGAGTGGGGGGTTCTGGGGTCGGGGATCGGCGGGTTCCGGGCCGGGGGCTGAGGGCCCGGGGCCGCCTCGCCCCGTGCCCTCCCGGCCGTGCCTGTTCGGTGGCCCGCAGGGAGGGGTTCAGGCCCTCAGGAAGGGGCTCAGCCCCCCAGGGAGGGGCTCAGGCCCTCAGGATCCCCCCGAGGCCCGGGGGGGCGCTGGGGATGCGGTCGGATCGTCCCCCCCGGCCCGCACCCTGCCCCGGCCTGCAGGATGTTGGCTCCTTTGTATGTGGCTTTTCCTCTCTCTCACCGGAGGGGTTTGGGAAGTGTTTATTTTGGGGGGGAAAGGGCCTGTGCCGAACGTGGTGTTTAAAACGGATTTTTTAAATTTATTTTTATTTTGTTTTCTTCAGCGAAGCGGGTGAGGATGAATGTGAGAAACAGGAAAAAGTGCCCTCCCCCCTCCTGCCCCCAGCAGACAGGAGCTGATCCGGGCTGCTCCTGAGGTTTGCAGAGGAGAGGCAGCTCTGCCGGGGAGGCCCCGTGGCTCCTGTCCCTGGCTGGCAGGAGGGAGCTGAGCCGGGGATCCGAGCCTTGGATCCCGGGGAGCGAACGACGGGAAGCTGTGGGGATGGTCAGGAAGGTGCCTTTTCTTTTGTGCTCTGAGGACTTGCCGTGCTCGGTGCATTTTGGAAGTTAAAAACCAAAGTTTGACAAACCTCTTTGGAGTTGCCACATCAGTCCTTTCCAGGCAGTTCGAGGTAACCAGGACACGGGTAGAAAGGTGTGTAAAACCTTTGGAAGTCGCCTCGTTAACCAAATCCATTCGTTTTCCCTCTGTACAACAAGTGGTTGCAGATGTGGAAGTGCAACCAGAGCAGTGTGGAAGTTCACCTGCCAGGCTGCCACACGCACAGAGTGCCCCCATCTCCCCATGGCCACGACAGGGGCTTAAAAATTGGGCCTTATGTAACAGATTGGAGCAAACGTTTGGTGTTTGCCAGTGGTCTGACAAAGAATTGCTGCAAATTAGGGCAGGAGGCCTCCATGGGGAGCCCTCGCCGTGGCGGGATAGGCTTGGCTGCTGGGAGGAACTTGCCAAAGATTTGTTGGTTTTGTTTTAATTTGGTGCTTTGCAGATAGGAACGTTGTTTGGGCGGTGTTCTGTCGCTCCCCGGGGCGCTGGGAGGGTCGTGGTCCTGTGGTGCAGACCGGTCTGACCCCAGTGTGCTCAGGTTTGTGGGGGCATGAAGTTTGGGGGGCTGTAAGGGTGACTGGCCTCCCATGCCTCTGCCTGGGGGTTTGATCTCCTCCCTGTTGGCTGACAGATCTGTGAGGCCTTATAAATCACTTATAACTCCCTTAAAAATCACCTGTGTGGTTCCTTTGCCTCCCTGCTTTGCTCCTGTGCCCACACACCCGGGGTGCAGTTGGTGGTGGTTTGCAGGGGACACTTTGTGTCCAGCAGCTTCTCCAGGCCCTCTGGATGGATCTGCGTGCCCTGCCCTTGCAGCGAGGTGTGTGCTGGGTGCTCTTGGTGCAGCTCCTGAGAGGAGGAGGAGGACGAAGTTGGCCCTGGCAGCTGGGCAGGCTCCTGGGCACTGCTCTCCCGGTGGGCCTTGTTTTGTATTCCCTGTCCGAGCTCCTGAGCAGCTCCGGGTGTTGTCAAAACTGTTAATAGGGGAGTGACTCAGCGGATCAATGAGAGTGACATGAGGGTTGTGCTCATGGACAATCGGTATTTTTTCCCCCTCCAGCCCCACTGGGCTGGAAGAGACCGTGACTGAGAGCAGCTGCCAATAAACATCTTTCCTGGACTGATTGTGCTCTGGAGCTGTCTCCCCCTGCCCACTCCCCCCTC